GGGGAGAAGGGTGCAACAACGAATGAATGGGATTCCAAAATCTCTGTAGATGTTCATTGAAATGAAAAATAAACTAAATTATATATAAAAAAAAAAGTGTCACTACTTGGTTACAGTTTTTACCAAAGCAGATAAGATTGTCAGGTCCTTCCCTTATGGAGCAGTTGGGCGAATTCAAACTGCCAAACATCTGGCCAGGAATCACGCACTTACCCAGGGTTCCTTCACTCCACAAAAGGGTGAAAGGAAAAAAGGCATAGAGTTTTAAAAGTTGCCAGAAAAAAATCACCTTTGATCTTACCTAGCACAAATTTTAAAACAGCACTTAGGATGCAGCCTCTGAACACATTGTTCTTGGAAGTCAGCAAAGGATTTTTCCCTACTAGGAATGAACTGATGAGAGGATATATTTAACGCTAAATCATAAATGACACATATACACTGTCACTGTCTGATCCAGTTCATGCTAAATTTAGTTAGGGATAAAAGGCTTTAAAAAAAAATCCCGAATGTTCTTACAAAAAGGCAAATATTTAATTTCAATACTTTCAACAAATACACTCTTTGACATAAAGAGCATTTTCACACACTTCTAAAAACCATATGCCCCAGTTTTCAGGGTCTAAAAATTGAGCAACTAAAGTCGGCCTGGTATAAATACTTTATTACTGCCTCCAGCATAAGGCCATTCATACTAAGATCGGATTCTGTTTTCTTAGGTTTTGATAAAATATGTCCTTATATAACACTACTACCATAAATAGAAGACTCATAATACAAGTTTTATCTGAGAAGATCTTTGGTTTGCTTTAGATTCACTGATTACATCCTTCCTGTTACTTATCAAGTCTGTGTGCATGGAGCTATTTAAATGGAATTATGCTAAATCCTTTAAGTGGCAATTAGTAAGGAAGAGGAGGATGAAGAGGAGGAGGAGAGGAACCTGCACCCTTCAACTCAACAACTTGTAGCACACTTCTAAAACAGGACTATGGAACACACAAGCAGATTAGAAACCAGAGGCAAAGCTTCACAATTACAGCACACTGAGTAAGTCAGAGCTCAATCACATTTTCCCTCGACTGTTAAATTCTTTCATGAAGTCTGTATGTCATATCCACACAGTTAATCAACAGCCATTGATTGCAGAATTCACACGACCAGAGAAGCTGTTAACATAGGAGCATGCAAGAGACCAGCACTGCAAACAGTTCATACTTACTGCATTCTGGTGCAAAAGGGGACAGATTACACAAAATGCAGTCAGTTCTTTAATTAGCAATAAACTCCTAAAAGTAAACACTGATTGCTTGTTACTCATTGCTGCAAATGACTGGCTTTTAAATACTAGTGCTTTACTTTTGATTGGTATAAGCTTTAGATCAGGATGCATGTCCAATCAATGAAAAATACAGGTCATTAACCACCTATGGTGCTGAACTGTGGTTCAGTTAGGTTAGAAATATTCAAGATAAAATCAACTCAAATGAAATAATAGGTCATAATTGTTCATGCCCTAAAACTTCAGAATGCTAAAGCTCTCATTCTAAATTTAGAAGAAAAAGAGAACATATATGGCATGCACCCGTATCTATGGCATAGCCCCTGTCTATCCAACTAACAGTCACTGAAACAGTGAGGAGATTCCACAAAACACCACAGCAGCCCACTCCCCTGAGTGCTATGTAGAGGCCCCACTTCCCAAATTAAAGTAGGAAGTAGACAGCATTCTCCTGGAGATAGCCTAAGAACAAAAACATGACTCTCCAGTCTTAATCCTATTGGTTAAAAAAAAAAAAGAACAGCTAAAGTATTAATGCACACATCAACTTATTTTCCAACAGCATATCTCAATACTGCGAGTACACCCCCAGCCTCTGTCCAAAAGGAATGTATGATTAGCCATTATATGTAAGATAGCAATCTGGAACAAAGGGT